AAAAAAAAAAAAAATAGACTACTTAAATTGTTAACCATTCACAGCCCAGCAAGAAGGAAAGAAAGAAAGGGAGTGCAAATAATCAGTACTAAAATATCAAGCGGAACCCACTAGAGATCCTAATGATGTTTAAAATAAGATACTATAAATAATTCTTGCCAATGAATTTAATAACTTGGACAAAACAGACAAATTCTATGGAAAACCCTATTTTACCAAAAATGATTAAAAAGTAATATGAAATCAGAATAATTTCATATCTGTTAAAGAGATTGATTCATTTGTAGATGACATATATATAGAAAAAAAACTAAAAATATCCTGAAGACTATACAGATACCCCCAAAACATTAACATTAATAAGCAAATTTAGCAAAGTTTAAGAACAATTCAGAGAGGAAGTTAAGAAAATAATTTTATTTTACAATAGCATCAAGTAGCCAGGTCAAAAAGAGATTTTTTTTTTTGGTGGACCCAATATTTTTATTTTTATTTATTTATTTTTATGTGGTTCTGAGGATCAAACCCAGTGCCTCACACACGTGAGGCAAGCATTCTACCGCTGAGCTACAACCCCAGCCCAATAAGACAAGATTTAAAAAAAAAAAAAAACTGTTATTTTTCAAAGATGACATGGTTATATATACACAGCAAATCTTAAGTCGATAGACATAAGGCCAATATATAAACACTAATTGTATTTCTGTCAACAACAAAGAAATAGAAAATGAAAAATTTTAAAGATACAATTTATAGTAGCATCAAAAAATGTCAAATACTTAAGATTACTAATGAAAACTATGCAAGAACTCTACACTGAAAACTACAAAATGTGACAAAAGAATTTAAAGAATAAAATAAAGGAAACATACACTATGATCATGATTAGAAAACTCAAAATTGTTAAAGCTGTCTGTCCATTCTTGCTGAATGGATCTGCAGTGCAACTCAAGCAAAATCTCTGCAGAGCTCTCCACAGAAATTGACAGGACAATTCTAAAGCTCATATAGAAATGCAAAGGAACAAAAATAGGAAAGGCAGGCTGAAGGAAGGCTACCAGACACCAATCCACAAAAGTTATAGAATTTGAATATAAAGGTATTGCTAGATGCAGTAGCTCACGCCTGTAATCCTAAAGACTCCAGAGCTGAGGCAGGAGGATTGAAAGTTCAAAGCCAGCTTCAGCCACTTAGCAAGGCCCTAAACAGCTTAGCAAGACCTTGTCTTTGAAAAAAAAAAAAAAAATTAAAGGGCTGGGGATGTGGCTCAGTGGTAAAGTGCCTCTGGTTTCAATCCCTGGTACCAAAAATAAATAAATTTAAACAAATAGATAAATAAATATAAAGATATAGTAATTCAGGAAGCAGGATTTCAAAGAAATAGATCAGTGTAAAGAGACCCATGTCCCCGTGGTCACAGAGCAAGGTCCCGAGGCTGCCCTGATATTGAATACCAACCTCCAGAACCAAAAGAGGTTTTGTTTTGTTTTGTTTTGTTTTAAGCCACCCAATATGTGTTTGTTATAGCAGTCCTAGGAAACTAGAATACTAGCTAAGATATATATTTTATTTTAATGTTCTTTCTTTGAGTGCTATTAATACAATTTCATAACTCTCCTGGGGGAAAAAAAGACACAAAAAGCTAGGGATAAAGGGAAATTTTGATGGATTGGAAACCTTGAAAATTAGAACTTTCATGTCTCAAGAGACACTGTCAAGAGAAGGCAAAGGAAAACCACAGAGCAGGATGAGAGGCCTGGCGTGTGTCCATCCACCCAGCATCCAACAAAGGATTGGCCTGGTGTATAAGAGAAATGGCAAATGAATAATTTTTGAAAACTGACAAGCCAAATTAACAAAGGAAGTAATTTGGGTACTTATCTAGATGTAGGCCCTCAGCAAAGAGAAGATTTAGAAAAGAGTTGTACTAAGAAACTAAGGAATATATTTGACTAGAAAGCAGATCCTCATCTCACAGTTACAGGGCAAGAGTACAAAGGTGAACCACGCAGCTAAATGTCCACCATAAATATCTCAAAGTTTCAAACCAAGTCAAGGAATTAAAGAAAATGTCTACCTTCCTTCCTCTTCTAAATACACTTTTATAAGGATGACCTGGGGGACCAGGAGTTTTGGAATTCTCAGACTCATAGGAGTTCCACGCCAGAACTCGGTAACCCCGGAAGACATGGCCCTGGTTCCTGCCCACCCTGTTTCCTCTCTCCCTGACTCTGTTCCACACAGCAGGGTTGCATGCATGCATAGGGACAGCAGAGCCAGGAAACTCAAGCTCCACTGTCAGGAAAGGAGAATGAATTATGGTTCTTGAGCAGCCTGGTGACAGAAGTGATGCCCCTTCTGGGGACTCCCTGTTTAAAGGCAGACACTTGAGACTGCTCAGCTGCTGTGGTGATGCTCTGTGCAAAAGGAGGTTCCATGCCAGCTGCGGGATTATCAGTTCTTGACCTTAAGTTCAAAGGCCAGCTACCCACGGGTGGAGAATGGTAGATGCAAGCTGATAGTTCTAATTGGGCTGTTTTTACTCTCAACTTCAGTTCTGTTTATCTTGAAGAAACTTCTCACAATAAATCCCTTTGATGTTAAAACCTATAGAATAAATGTGCTGAGCTTGTTCATGGCCACTGGTTCTCTATCAGGGTTGTTAGTGAAGCACCAGGACCCAGCTTCTTCTCTATTTGTGTGTCTGTCTGTCTTTTCTTTATCCCCTCATCACCAGATTTGGTTACCTGAATTAATATCCTTGCAGGTTGTGGCCATTGTCACTCAAACCGGGAAACTGGACATTCACAGGAACTTTTCATTTGTCAGGTGAGTGGGATGCTCCTAAAAAATAGCTGTGTCAGATAAAGGAAGGAGGGGAACAGGTTTATATATAGCTTGGGAGAGTTAGGATAAACATGGGATAGTTAGGATCCAAAGAAAGGGATCTCTCTGTTGCTAGCCTGTGCTCAAGTCTATGCTGAAATCAGGGAAGGCACAGTTGTCACAGTTTTAAAATTAGTTATTGAAATTTACCCCTGTTTTTTTAAAGAGGGAGTGGTAAATTCAGAGACCTGGGATAGACTTGGTAAACAGCTGTGTGACAGGTACACAGCCAAGGGACCAGATGAGATCCCATGGCTACTTTCACTTTGTGGTCCTCCATACGAGATCCTCTCAATCCATCTCATGAAAGTGTAGAAAAGCTGCTATCTGAAAGTCTGATTTCAGAGTCCACCATGGCTGTTAGATTTTACACCTGGCATTTCAACTGTGCAGGCCTGCCCTGTGCTGAAGTCACAGTGTGAAAGTCTGATAGGCTCTATTTTGATTTCTAACAGGCTAACTCTAGTAGCGGCTTTGATCAACATCCCTAACACTGCCTCCCGTCTGTGGAGCTCCGCTTACACAAAGTTACACAGTCTTTTCTTCTTTGTGTGTTTTGTGTATGTGTGCACACCTGTGTATTGTGTTGTTGTGTCTACATATGTGTTTGTATCTATATATTATGTACAGGGTATCAAAATTAATGTATAGTTAAAGAGCACTCCTAAATTAAAATAAATGGATCCAAATATTTTTTAGTTTATATAACTTAAAAAAAGAATTTCAGTTTGAATTGAGTAAGCAGATAAAAATCAAGATGTCTTTAAAATTACTAACTCATGTTTTTCTAGGTGGTCAGAAAACTTATAAAGTATTAGTTTCTATAATATCTCTAAAATGTAATACTCATCGCTTCTAGGATATTTCTTCAACAGGAAAGAGATGGTTAATACTGTTAAGTACATTTGTTCAATATCTTGGCTTTTACAGTTAAAAATGAGTAAATTAGATTTAACATAAATGGGATTAATCATAAATATGTTTGTTAGAGGAAACATCTGGTAAATGGGAAAAAGGTTTGAGATGGCTTTGTTTCTGTATCTTTACTAAAAACAAGGTTGTAAGAGTTAAGATTCAGTCAGGTGTGATTTATGTACAGAGTGTGAGAGGTTTCAGTTGGGTTTAAATTAAAGTACTATAAAAGCAAAAGTAATTCATCTTATTAAAGTTATTTGTCTAAATTGAAGAATTTCATAAGGATTGTTTCAAAATATGAATTTGGAAAGAGATTAGTAACTAGGAAAGAAATATAAAAAGGTTTTAGTATGAAATATAATTTAATATAAAAAGTAAAGGGAAATGTTTTTGGATAAAAAAAAGTCTTTTTCTGGTAAGGTAAAAGTTAATAAATGTCTAATTAAATTACAAAAGATTTGTAGAGATAAATTTCAAAAGTTTGTATGAATCTAAACTGGTTATATATAACTCATACAATCAGCTAAAGTTATCTAAGTCTTTTTCCTTTTTTAGGAGGGGTGGTACCAGGGATGGAACTCAGGGGCACTCGATCACTGAAACACATCCCCAGCTCTATTTTGTATTTTAGTTAGAGTCAGAGGCTCACTGAGTTGCTCAGCGCCTCACCATTGCTGAAGCTGGCTTTGAACTTGAGATCCTCCTGCTTCATGCCCTGTGCCCAGCAGGGTTTTTTTCTCTTTTAAGAAGAGAGTTCCTAATCTACAGGGCCAAAGGTCTTGTGTGGAGTTTCTGGAATGGAGCATGCTACAGAAATAGATATGAAAAAAGCAGCTCTTCCTATAGGCTTCTGAAAAAGGGCCCAAGAGAGGGAAGAAACAAGTCTTGACTCCCCAGACACAAGTCAAAAATTAATACGCAGGGCTGGGATTGTGTCTCAGCTCAGGTAGAGCACTCTCCTAGCACATGCAAGGCCCTGAGTTCGATCCTCAGCACCACACAAAATATATAAAAATAAAAAAATAAAATAAAGGCATTGTGTCCAACTACAACAGTGTTTCCCATCGAGCATCCACCAATACCTTACTGCCCGATCGTACAACTTGAGAATTGGGTACCTTTCCTAAATGGATGGAACGTGCTAATACTTTGCCAGTGCAACATAAAGTCCCTGGCAGTAGTGAATGTGTCTTGGATTGGTCCTGCAGAATGGACAGACAGCTACATCAGGAACCTATGACTCCTGGAGGCTTTGTTAGTAATGTTCTGACCTTCCTTCCGTGATGGTGGCATGCAAAAATACCTGTGGCATTTAATATCTACCTTAGATTTCATCAACTATACCAGCTGCCCCTTAACTGACCAGTTTCCCTGCTATGGCCTGCAGGCCTGTATCCAATCTCCTTATGTTTTCATTTCTGGAAAAGTAAAAGTAAAGAGAACTGGAAAAAAATATATATGCATTAAAAATGCTCACTTTATTAATAATTTAGGTCAAAATACTTCCAAAGCCCTACAGAATCATGTAAGTATTGATGAAAAGATTGAGACTAAACTAAATGCTTTGGAAGCTACTATCATAAATGTGGAAAATGAGCTTGCTGTTCTCAAATTTAGACAATAGCTTTGATGCCATGCTGGCTAAAAATTTGTTTGTGTTACATCTGCAAATTTTAACATTTCCCATTGGGCTAGGGAAAAAGTTAAAAGCATCTAATGGGCATTTGGCAGAGAAATGACCATGTAGACCTTATGGCATTACATCATCACATCCAGGATATTCAGGAAAGCAGGAATGATCTCGTGGATCTTGTGTGGCTTGCTGAACAGATACTTAATGACTTAAATGGTTTTAATCTTTGGAATATATTAAAACGTTCAATAGGGTACACTTTTGGAATTATGGGTTTACTATTAATTCTTTTTTGTGTTGTACCAATAGGATGCTTCATCTTCCAAAGAAGACACCTGAGAATTTCAAATAATAGCCCATCACTTGTGCTTAAAAAAATAAAAAAGGAGGAGGTGTTGGAAGCAGGGAATGAATTATGGTTTTTGAACTGTCCAGCGACAGAAATGATGCCCCTCCTGAGAATTCTCTGGGCAGAGGCATTGATTTGAGACTGTCCAGCTGCTATGGTGACACCCTGTTCAAACGGAGGATGCCAGCCATGGAATTATCAGTTCATGACCTTAGGTTCAAATGCCAGATGCCTAGGGGTAGAGAATTATGGGTGCAAGCTGATAGTTCTAACTGGGCTATTTATAGCCTCAACTTTGGTTCTGTTAACCTTGAAGAAATTTTCTCACAATAAATTCTTTTGATGTTAAAACGTCTATGATTTATGTGCCAAGGGTTGTTAGTGAAACAACAACTGGGACCCAGTTTTTTCTCTACTTGTGTGTCTGCTTGTCTTTTCTTCATCCTCTTACCACCTAGTTTGGTGACCTGAATTAATGGCTGTTCATGTCACGGCACTCCATCTCCCATCACCTCCTACCACCAAGTGCCTTCTGTCTTGTAAGGCCACTGACCCTTGAGAGAACAGACCTAGGGAAGAAGTCCATGCAGGTCCAGGAATAGATATGGCTATTTGAACAGTTAATCTGATTTCCAGGTTCCTTGCACAGTCTGGAAAGAAGGAACCGTATGGTCTCTGGGTGGCGAAATCCCTTGACCTCACAGAGGCATGACTCAGCTGTGGGGAGAAACTCGGCTGGAGTAAGGAGCCCCTGCAGCTATCTTACATGGGCCTAAGAATGATGTTCTGAAGAAGCAAGCCTCCAAATTCTGAACTGCCTCTTCCCCTATCTCTCCTCTGAGTGTCCTACCACCTAACAACTCAGAATCGTTCTTCCCTCATCGTCCCTAACACCGTCCCAATCATCTCATGCCTGTTACTGAAGCTGCCTCTGGCTGCACTCTGTGCTGTCCTGGGCCTCGCCAACCCTCCCCAATCCCCTTTACCACTCTATCTTATAGAACACAACATCCACTCAGGCCAGAATGCATCAAGCTGCGGTGACTCATGGAAACCAAAATTCTCATTCAGTCTTCCCACAGCATGTGCCGCACTCCCTCCACCAGGGTGCCCCAGGTGCCCGTCATCATCAAGGTCAAATTGTAGTATGTCAGAGGGAGCTTCATGTAGAATATGTATGAACACTTCCAAAATTGCCGAGCCATGCAATGCATGGGTCATAAAATCTCTATTAATCAATACCATTTGTTAGCCAGCATTTCCTACCTCCCAGGGACACTGGATGTGACAGCTGACTCTTGGGTTAGCCTGAGGTCTTGATCACTCTTATGCATCTTGGAGGTGGGACTCCTCCTGCTCCAGTGGAGTCTTTGATCCCTGAGCTCTGCAGACAAAGGTCTCCTCACCCTCCTCTCTCCCCAGAACCACTTTGCTAACCTCAACGTAACTGCTGTCGCCTTCATTTGCTCCAGGTCAAGGGCCACATGGTTTCAGTGATGTATTTTAGCTTCTCATGTACAGCCTGTCCCATGGTAAGTGCTTAGATCTTTGGATGGGCTGGGGATGTGGCTCAAGTGGTAGCGCGCCCGCCTAGCATGCGCGAGGCACTGGGTTTGATCCTCAACGCCACATAAAAATAGAATAAAGATATTGTGTCCACCTAAAGGTAAAAAAGATAAATATTAAAAACCTTTTGATGAAGAAAAAAGAAGGTTCCAATTGTAAAGAGCTGATGAGTTTGTACCAATTGGAAGTTAAGCTAGGAAAAGACACTCTCCAAAAGGAGGAGTTTATTAGCACAGGCCTGTAATCCCAGCAGCTCAGGAGGCTGAAACAGGAGGATCACAATTTCAAGGCCAGCCTCAGCAGTTTAGCAAGGCCTTAAGCAACTTAGTGAAACCCTGTCTCAAAATAAAACATAAAAAGGGCTGGGGATGTGGCTCAGAGGTGAAGGCCCCCTGGGTTCTCTCTCCAGTACCAAAAAAGAAAAGGAAGGGTGTAGTTGAGAATGTTCTGTCTGCCTTTCTCTGATAGGTTGACCTTAGCAAAGGCTCCTTTCACATACTCTACTAATATTTATGGGCTGCTACAGTTTGGCTTTAGAATGTCCCCTAAATGCCCCTGGGCACAAAGCTTGGTTCCCAGGGCAGTGCCACAGGGAGGTGGTGGAACCTTTAAGAAGTGGAGCTTGGTGGAAGGTCCTTAGGTCACTGGAGATGTCCCTAGAAGGGGATTATGGCACCCCGGTCCCTTCTAGCATCCCAGCTCTGCAAATTTTTCTCTGTGTGACTCCAAACAAGTTGCTTGACCTTTCTGAGCCTTGAAGTCTCTCTCTGAAGAATGGAATTACGATGTGACAATCATGAAGACTAAATGACGCATCAAAGGCCTAGCACGTGGCAGGCACACAGTGAACTCTGGCACATGTTCACGATGGATTAAAATCAGCACTCTTGGAGGGGAAGCAGGTCTGCAGAGTGGGGCCATCCCACTGAATGAGGATGTTCATTTCCTGGTTGCAAAGGGCCATCTCCTGGCACATGGGTCCACTTTACAAATCTGTTGATGATTCCTCTCTGAGTACAAGCTGTTCCGTTTCATGGGTTATTACATATTTTCAAATGTTAAAGAATTTTTCAAATTTTCTTTCTGCTGTGGTTGGTTTGTAATGTAAATCCACTGTGGTCAGAGGAAACGCCTTGATTGGCCCTCTCACATACATCGGGACTTGCATGTCATTGTATGTGGTCCGAGGAGGTGTTCAAAGAGTGTCTGAAGAGCATGTGTGTCCTGTCCGCCCGGCGAGCGTTCTGCGTATGTGGGGGGACGCTCTCCTGACAGCACTGATTTCATGAGCCAGCCCTTCCGCTGATTGTCTAGAAGGGGGCCTGAGGTCCACACTGTCTGTTGTTGGATTTCATGCTTCCCTCTTACTTCTGCTGCAAAGGTCACTAATATTTATAGTTGTCACATCTTTCCAGTGTACTGGTCCTTTTTGTCATTACAAAATTTCCTATTTTGTCTCTAACAATATTTGTTGTTTTAACTTCTATTTTTTTCTCCACTAGTGGGGATGGAACCCAGGGCCTCCCACGGTTAGGCAAATGCTCTTCCACTGAGCCACACCCCAGCCTTTTCCTATTTTATTTCAAGACACAGTCTCTACTAAGCTACCAGGCTGGCCTTTAACTTGTGATCCTCCTGCCTCAGCCTCCTAGTGCCTGGGATTACAGGCATGTACCACGGCAACCAGTTGGTCTTAAGGTTTATTCTTTCTCTCTCTCTCCCTCTCTCTCTCTCCCCCTTTGTCTCTCTCTCTCTCTCCCTCTCTCTCTCTGATCTCATAATAACATAGCTGTTTGTAGCAGTCTTTTAGGGTTGCCACTATAAGTTCCTGCAAACTGGATGACTTAAAACTGCAGAACTTGATCCTCAGCCCTGGAGGCTGGAAGTCTCAAGCCAGGGCCATGCTTTCTCTCAAGGCTGTAGAGAAGGCCCTTCTCTCCCACCTCTTCCTGCCTCTGGAGGTCCCAGCAGCCGCTTCTGTGTCTTGGCACACAGACACACCATGCTGATCCCTGCGTCTGTTAGCGTATGACGCTCTTCTGTGTCTCCGTGTCCACATTTTCCTTTCTTATGAAGTCATTGGTCATTGGATTGGGGCTGGCTCTAATCTGGTGTGACCACACTTAACTTGATTACGTCTTCAGAAGTGGGTAAATGGATGGCCGATTTCCAAATAAGGTCACACTCGCAGGCTCCAGGTGGACGTGAACTTGGGGTGAGGGGCGTCATTCCGCCCAGCACAATACTCTAGCTCTCTCCCATCACCACCTGTGAGGGGTCTCTTTTCCCATCATTTTATTCTCCACCTATTTAAATGTTTGGAAACAAAGTTGTTATCTGTCATAGACAGGATCAGACCTTACTGTGTGTGTGTGTGTGTGTGTGTGTGTGTGTGTGTGTGTGTGTGTTGCTGGGGATAGAACCCAGGGCCTGTCCATGCAAGGCAAGTGCTCCACCACTGAGCTACATCTCCTGCCCACCACCCTTATTTTTGGAGGATACTATCTCTGGAGACAGACCTCCTAATTGACAGCCAGCTTTTTCCTCCCTTCAGCACTTTGAATAGGTCACACAACTACCTTCATGCCTTCTTTGATTCTGAATTGTACTGGTGTTGGTCTCTGGGTTCTGCTTCAGTGATAACAGAGTCTTTGGCTTTCCATATTTTGATTATCATCTGTCTAGGTGTGGATCTTCTACTTGGAGTTTGTTGAATTTCTTGGCTCTGTAGATTAATACTCTCCAATTAACTGGGGGAGTTTGAAGCCATTATTTATTCAAATATATTCTTCTGCCCCTTTCCGCTCTCTCCTCTCCTGAAATGCTCCTGAAGTGCATATTGGAACACATGGTAGAAGACAGGACACTGCAGCTCTGTTCATTTTCTGCATTTTTTTTCTTTGTTGTTTAGATTGGATATTTCTCTCAGTCTATCTTCCAGTTCACCAATTCTCCCTTCTTCCATGTTGAATCTTGTCTTGAACAGCCTCAGTGTGGTCTTATTTAGTTGCTGGACTCTTCAGCACCAGATATTTCATTTTTTAATAATCTCTTATTGGTACTATTGAGAATCACTATTGTTCATTCATTGTTGTCATGTTTTCCTTTATGTCTGTGAATACTATTTTTTGTAATTTGTTAGAACATAGTTACTATATCTCCTTTGAAATCTTTGACAAATCTAACAGTTAAAGTAACTCAAAGAAGGTTTGCATTGGTTTCTCCCCCCGCCCCCAGTGTGAGTCACACTTTTGTGTGTGACTCTTCATGTCTTGTCATTTTTGTTTGTTTGTTTGTTTAAAAAATGGTCATTGTAGCCACTCTGGATTCTGATTGTTTTTTCCCTGGAAGTTGTTTTGTAGTTATTTGTTCAATGGTTTACCTGAACTTTAGCTGTGAAATTTATCCACCTTGTGGTGTGCAGTCATTCCTGTATTGCTTGAAAGCAGATTGTTTTGTTTTTTAATTGGATTGTTAGGGTCTAAAAACAAGTCAAGATGGCGCCTGGCATTTTGCCAGAGGGAGTGGTTTGTGAAGTAACACCAGCGAGCCATTAAGTGTGGAGATTCCTTATTGGTTGACTGCTGTATCTAGTTTCTGTTAATTAAGATAAACTGTGTGGAATGTATATATACCCCTCCTGTCCTACAATAAACGGCTCCCACTCCTGCTGCATCAATGTACACAAGTTGCTCGTCACCCCCCCACCCCCACCCCCGGGTTATTTTGCTGCAGCCGGACTTCGGCACTGGATTCCTGTGGTTGCCTCCCACCTGCATAGCTTAGTGGTCAGCCAGTGATTTGATAGACTGCTCACACACCTCAAATCCTGGAGGCCTCCATCCTCTGCCGAGGCACCTGAATGTAGATGGCAGAGCACATTCACAATTTAGGCTGCTCCCAGGTCTTCCCTGGGCTTTTGAGTCATCTCTGCTTCTACCAAAGAGCTAGGGTCAGCTTGGCGACTCTCATTGTCTTCCGTGTGTGACCCACTGGCCCCAATCACATCCTTGTCCTCGGGCCAGTAGAGGCCCAACCTTTGACTCTTCCCCACCCCTGCCTCGGGGAGGTCACTGTCACTGAACCATCCTGGGTATGAGCACCATCTACTGGGGCAGATCTGCTTCCGTGGCAATGGGGGAGCGGCTGGTCCTCACAGGCTGCCCCTCCTGGCAGAAGTTCCATACTGACCCAGCTGGTGGGGGTGGATGTGGACAGAACCCGCCAGAGCTGAGTGCTGCAGCCTGCGCACGGGGCAGCGAGTGCCCAGGGACACTTTGCTGTGTGGCTGGGTCCATTTCCAGAGCACTGAAATGGGTGGGGCTGTTTACTTGTCTTTCTTTCTTGGGGACGGGGGCTCGTGCCCACCTTTATAACTGCTCTCGGGGAAGGGGGTCCATGTGAACTTCAGCCACAGCTTCCCACCTGAACCCTACCCCTCCCAACACTTTCACAATTACCTCCTAGAACCAAAGCCCCTCTGTCCAAACACTTCACAGCGGGTTCTTGTTTCCTGACCAGACACAACTTGGCACTGCAGCCTTTATGAATGCACCGCAAGCCAAGGAATGAACTATAACTTTGACTAGGAAATAATTCTCAGAGGTTTGGTGCAATTCATGTGCCACAAGTCCTCCCACTCACACATGCACCAGGTCCACAAGAAGACCAGACTGTGCAGTCGCTCGGGTGCAGAGTGGAGGCCAGTCTCCATGGCTCATTCATTCTGAGATGGGGGCCTCTGTGAACTTTGGTTTCCTCGTCAGTAAAGCTGATAATAACTGATAATGAATATGTTCAATAACCTGAATGAGCCATTTCATAATGGGCACATATATAAAAATATCATCTTGAATACCACAAATATATACAACATTTTCCTGTCAGATATTTAGTTAGTTACTTAGTTATTGGTAGTGGGAAATTGAACCCAGAGGCACTTTACCACTAAGCCACATCCCCAGCCCTTTTTATTTTTTTATTTAGAGACAGGGTCTTGCTAAGTTGCTGAGGGCCTCACCTTAGTTGCTGAGGCTGGCTTTGAACTTGTGATCCTCCTGCCTCGGCCTCCTGAGTCGCTGGGATTAGAGGTGTGTGTCACTGTGCCTGGCCTAGGTTTTTAAGAAAGAAATTAAAGATACTGACCTAGTGAAACTGCTCTGGGGGATGAGATGATCCATGGAAAACGCCTGGAACATAGCACACACCTGAAACACTCTACCGTGTATTTTCTCTCCATTATAAGCCTCCTTCCTTTTACGATTCCCAAGAGACAGCAGCCTACTATTCACTCACAAAACAAACTCCTATAAAAATCCACATGTGTGGGAACGAGGAGTCGGAAGTCACATTAATGAAATGGCGCAGCATTTTGTCTGCTGGACTTTAGCTAGTCCCAGGCCCCATCTCTGTCCATGGAGAACCTTCTAGAGACCCGGTGACTGCTGTCAGACTGCCAGCATCCTTCCTGGGCTCTTGTCCAGGACCCTCACCACAGTGGGGAGCCTGCCTTCCGCAGCTGCATGCATAAATCATGGTGCCTGCTTGTTGTGACACTGCCTGTGACATCAGCAGTGGAGTCGTTTGACAGTTGCTGGGCGACAGCATCGTCCCAAGCTGTGTGCAAGTGCAGGTGGATTTCTGTGCCTGGTAAACCACGTAGATTCCTTACCTCTACGGTGAATCCAGGGACTGTCTCTGTTGCTTAGAGGGTGAAGAGTGTCTTCCCAACCAGGTAAGGAAAAACGCCCATGTTTTTTTCCCTCATGGGCAGCTGTAGTGGTTGGCAACCACAGTTGGATTACAGGAACTTTGCACTTCATGTTCTGGCTGAGATGGTGTTGTTAGGCGTATTCCTTAGGTGTCACTCTTTTTTTTTTTTTTTTTTTTTTGCCTGGAAAAGTTTATGTTCTGGTACATTTTGATGAGTTCCAAGTGTTTCATTAACAGAGTTCATGATAAAAAAAATATTATGTGGCTTATCTATTTTACAAGAGAACACAAGATCTACTAAAATACACACACACAGAGCGCTGGACACAACGGCCTCTCCTTTGGATGATTAGGAAGGAATGTCTAGATTCTGCATCCTCTGTCTCCATCTCTGCAAGCACCATATGTCCCCTGTAGCTGGGCTGAAAAGGAATGTCCCCAGAGGAATGGAGTGCACAAGTGTGCCAGTCCAGCCCTGAGGACACAACCAAAATGGCTTCAGCAAAACAAAAAAAAGTGTGTGGAGGATAAACTTTTGTGTGACTCTTGGGGTTAAGCAGTGTCCCCAGGACGCTGTCTCATCCCCTGTCCTTGGCGACCTCTTCGGCAGCACTGGCTGTATTCAGAAGCAGGCACCCACATGGGCACAAACAGCCATCAGCACCTCCAGGCGTGGCGTGGCTTTCAGCAGGTGTTAGGAGCCAGCCAGGGAGAAGGGTCTCAGCTCAGCTTCCCTGGAAGCAAGCTGAGGTGGCTCTTGACCTGTTACCTGTTGGGAAAAGCCTGTGGGAGGCGGGGAGGCGCCAGCGGGGCCTGGTTCCAGGTCAAGTCCATCCTGCTGCGATGGCAGGACAGGCCGGGAGGCGCACCATCAGAGTTCCCTCTCCAGCTCGGGAGTGGACTTTCACTTTCTTTATCCCTGGTCACTGGCCAGGGTCCACCGCGGGCCAGGGAGCACTCCCTGGGGAAAGCAGCTTGGTCACCTCAGGGCTTCTGGTTCCAGAGTTTCAAGCTGGTGAGGAATAAAAGCGCGAATTCCCTGGTGGGAGACGGGGAGGAAAGACATCCTATTTCCCCATCTGGTTTCTTACCCTCGAATTCTAAATTTTAGGAACGCCACATACATAAGGGCTGCTGGTTTACGGAGTGTTAGGGCCGGCTTGTTTGTCGCCTCCAAATGCATGTTGAAATTTAAATGCCACTGTGTTGGTCCCGGGAGTGGGACCTTAAAAAGGCGAAGCTGGACTAAGGCCCTAATCCCAGGCTCATTATCATGGGAGCGAGTTCACCTGCCCTCATTCTCCCTCTCTCTGCTCTTCTGTAAGTGCAAGCCACCCAGCAAGAAGGCCTGTCTCTTAAAGCAGGGATTTGGGCTTGTCGCAGTCTATTCTTTTTTTCTTTGGTTGGTTTGGGTATTTTGTTGTTTGTTTGCTTGTTTTGTTTTGTACCAGGGATTGCACTGAGGAGTGTGTAACCACTGAGCCACATGCCCAGCCTTTTTTTTATTTTTAATTTTGAGAAAGGGCCTTGCTAAATTGCTGAGGCTGGCCTCAAACTTTCAAAGTTCCTGCCTCAGCCTCCCAGACTGCTGGGATTACAGGCTTGTGTCACTGCACCTAGCCACTGTGGAATATTCTGTTCCAACTTGAAGAGACCATCTGAACCAGGTATGGTAGTGCATTCCTGCAATCCCAGAGGCTTAGGAGGCTGAGACGGGAGGATCATAAATTCAAGTCTAGCCTCTACTTTACAAGGACCTTAGTAATTTAGTGAGAATCTATCTTAAAGAGAGAGGGGGGGGAGGGAGGGAGAGGGAGGGGCTGGGGATATGGTTCAGTGGTTGAGCACCACTGGGTTCAATCCTTGGTACCAGAAACAAACAGGAATGGTCAGTCTGAGCCTTCCTCTGTTAATCTCCACTCAGGAGATATTTTCAATGAGAGAATAAGATTGAACAAATCACAGATTTTCAACACTGAAATTGTCTCCATCTATCCGCACAATGCTTGAAATTTTTATATAACAGCCTCAAATTGTCATCCAGGTTTGCACACCAGAGGAAGGAAGTTCACTGTATCCTCGAGTAACAACACCATGAGGACTTGGAGAATTTTGCTTTGAGATGCGATCTGAAGGAGGACTTTCTGTTGTTGCACAGTTCTCAACCCTTATTCTAAAACCTTCCATAGAGTAGACATTGGGCAAAATGTGTTTCCTCTACTGTATTTAGTGCCATAAAGACTGAAGACCTCAATCATGTCCTCACAAGATCAATCATTTCTTTTCTACTTTTTAAACTGAAGATTAAACCCAGGACTGCTCTATTACTGAGCCACATCCCCACCCCTTCTTTTTCTTTCTTTCTTTTTTTTTAATATAGTATCTCACTAAATTGCTGAGGCTGGCCTTGAACTTGCAATCCTCCTGCCTCAGCTTCCTGGGTCACTGGGATTACTATTGTGCATCACCACACCCAGCACAAGATAAACCATTTCCTTTTTTCCCCATATTTTTTATTGGAGCATTATAGTTGTGCAGAATGGTGGGATTTGTTGTTACATATTCATACATGCACACAATATAACTATATAATTTGGCTAATATCATTTCCTGGTATTTCCTCTTTACTTGCTCTCCTCCTTCTCCCTGGTAAAATTAACCATTTTTAAATTGTCTATATTTCACAGTTTGTGGTCCTCTCTCCATTGTATTTGCCTTCCTTTGTGTCTATCTAGTTGTCTTTTTTTTTTAATGCAATGCTGAGGATCAAACCAGGGCCTCATATGTACCAGGTAAATGCTTTACCACTGAGTTATATGTCCAGCCCCAAATACAATCATCTGGGTAAGACGTTTTGTTCTTTGTTTTTTTTTTCCCCCAGTGTGGGGCATTGCCCCAGGGCCGCAAGCCTGCTGGGTAAGTGTTCTGCTGCTGAACTACACCCTTGCCCCGTCACTGTGTCTTAAGCCCACTTTTTCTTATGTTTCTGCTAAGCCACGAGCTATCTTTTACTTGTAAAGCCCTGAGTATAATCCCTACTTATCCCTTTAATATTTTATAAATTTTTCCACTTATAGAAGCAATAGGAGGTGAATGTCACGTCCAGCAGAAGAACTTTACACATCAAACAGCCTGAGCTGCCCTGTCTCATGACTTCTGCTCACAGACTGGAAGAGATGGAGCCTTTCTTCTTTGATGACTTTGGCTCAATGATACAGAACAAGGCCATAGAGAGAATCATCTCGTCGATGACTGTGAGGCTTTGCCATCTGCTCATCTCCATGGAGAGGGACGATGTGAAGAAAGAAGTGTTCGCTTCCTTGGAGAGGACGGCAGAGGGCCTGGCTGCAGCCAGCGAAGAGTTTGTGCAAGTTGCCAAAAGGTAATACTTTCAAAGAACTCCAGGTGCTTGCTCTGACAGGTGGCAGGAGGAGCATGTAACTCGAGCCTTGTTATGGTCTGTGCAGGTGCTTTACGAAAGAAGCCAGGTGTGAGAAAACAAATGGATAAAGCATAAAGCCAACTGCTTACTGTGTTATTACTTAACACTGGGTATAAGTGTGGCAACATCTCAAAAGTGGTGGGGTTTTGCACTACAGTGTGGTTCTGTGCCCCATCAAAAGGTTTCCAGATTCATTCTTAGTATTTCACAAATTAACTGTTTTATTATAGGATGAGAATTTTATTATTGTCTAAACACAGTTTCCATGTTGGTCATTCAGTATATTAGACCTGTAAACCTGCATGCAAATTACTCTCATATGAAGTTCCAGGATTAATGTAAAGGGGTCTACTTAAAAGAACAAAACTGAACCCTTTAGATGAAAGTTGAATACTACAACAAATGTTTACATTTTAGCTAGGTACAGGCTGCACACTGGTAATCCAGCAACTCAGGAGGCTGAGGCAGGAGGATGGCAAGTTCAAGGGCAGACTGGGCAACTTAGTGAGGACCTAAGGATCTTAGGAAGACCCTGTCTCAAAACAAAAATTTAAAAAGGGTTGAGGAGGGGCTGGGGTTGTAGCTCTGTGGTAGAGCATTTGCCTAGCACATGTGAGGCACTGGGTTCAAACCTCAGCACCACATTAAAAACTAAATTAATTAAATAAAGGTTAAAAAGTGGGGTTGGGGATGTGGTTCATTGGTGAAGCGCCTATGGATTCAATCCCCAGTTTAAAAAAAATTTACACTTTTATGCCCAAAACTTAATGTAGGTACTAGAAATTGACTGTCTATATCTGAATCCTAGCCCCACTGCTTACTAGCTGTTTGGCTCTGGTTGAGTTCCTAAACCTCTAGATGCCTCCTCTGTGAAGCTGGAAATAATATCTAACCCATAGGACCTTCAACAGGGTCATGGGAAAAATCCTTACAAGTTGCTGAGCACGGCACCTGGCACATGGTAGCCAAATTACAACTGCCCCCTATCTAGCTTCAAAATACAAAGAGGTCTTTCTTCCAAGACAAAGTGGCCTAACCACCTCCTAAGGTGCCAAGTGGAGTACCTGCTGCAGGTGCTGTCCTTGGTGCTGAATCACAGCCTCGAATAAGAGACCTTCCTGGGGGGAATGGAGCCAACTGAGAGAAACCACAAAACTGCATCAACACGGAGGAGCCCAACACCCACAAAGAATGTGGGCAGAGACCAGGCATTTCACTGAAGAAAAGCAAATTGAAGTTTTGGATGCTAATTTGATCATATAGACTCAAGACTTTAGAAAATATGTATCTATTGACTCATTAACTCCTATCCTACTGATTTATTCTAAGGAGATACTGAGGAATAGGAGTCAGATGTATGTGTAAGGATGTTTGTTGTGACATTATTTAAACTTCTGAAAAAATGGAAAAAAAGCTAAACTAAGACATAATCCTGTGTTGAAGCAAAATAGATTATAAATGCTTACCATAGTATAGATGAATATGCACTCATTAGAGGAGATGGCTACAGCACTGTTTGTGTGGGAAAGCAGCTGCCAAACCCTTAAGGCTAACACAGAGCCTGAAAGAATTCATAATGGCAGCATGCATCAGACTTTAACAGTACAGCAAAGTTAATTCCTAATCTTTGACAAATGCACTATGATTACATAATATGATGGGAAGATGGGTAAAAGGTACGCAGAATGAGGTGATAGCATTTTTTTACATGTATATATGGTAGTTTTAGCATGATTCATCATTATGAAACACCTGAAGCAACCCGGACACCCAACTGTAGAAGATGCATTGAATAAACTAGAGTTAGACACACAAGACGTGGTACAGCTGCTAAAAAGGGAGCAAGGAAGAGCCTTATAAATGGATCAGGAGTGACTTCCATGACATGTTATGTGAAGAAACAAACAGCAAACAGAACGGGGAGTCCGTGTGGTGGTTGCACCCCCAGGTTCACTTCAGGAACAAGACGTGGTGATGGCAGTAGAAAGCCCTTAGGTGTTGGCCCTTAGGCAGGCCACTCTGGGTGGAGAGAACTTCCCCCACTGAAGGCTGACTTATGCAGGTATGCAAAGACCCCTCAGCTGTCCACCCAACGTGGGACAGTGCTGAGGGTCTTCAGTTTCCTGCAGCTCAACTGGCTCGCTTTCCCCTTCTAGCCCACCTCTGCTCTCTCCCTTCCCAGGGGTGATCCTAGGAGCACCCTAGTAACCCTGAACCCTGATGGCCATCTCTGTGTTTGTTTTCCAGAGCCAACCTGTGGCAATATGCTACCTTTTGTATAAGGGAAAAATAAGAAAATACACATGATTATCTTATTGTTGCTTAAAAAACAACAGGAAAGATAAGATAGACACTAATGAATTTGGATGAGTTCGGTTACCTACAGAAGTTGGCAGGTTGGGACACAAGGAGTGGGAGGAGTACAGTGATACTCCTCTGATTATATCCTTTTTTTTTGTATAATTTGTAATTTTTTTTGTGTGTGTATTTTGACTTTAGGAACGACACGAATTTTTTTTGCATATGCAAAACATTTAAATCTTCAAGGATGGAGGGGAAACCATAAAATGTAGAACAAGAATAAGAATAAATGCATCCACCTAGATTTGAAGCTAATAATGTAATCACATTGAGGTAAAATTAAAATAACTAAAGCAAGTAACTTTTGAATAAGGTACTTTAATATAAATCTTTAATCTAAAGACAAATGAACAGCAAATATACACTGTACTTCACTTTGTGGATTTGTTTTTCAAAACAATATGAATTAACAAGTGTGAAACCATTTTCTGTGTTCTGTGCTCATAGAACAGATGAGTAAATATACTGAGGATATTGGGAACCACGTTTCTCACTAGTGGAGAGAAGACATACAAAAATAGAACAGGAAGTTCAGGACAAATCCTGTTATGTTGGATTAAAACTGGGGATATGGCTCAGTTGGTAGAGTGCTTGCCTCATATGCAGAAGGCCCTGGGTTCAATTCCTAGCACCACATACACAAAAAGTTAAATTAAATTAAATTTAGAAATAAGATAAAATTAAAGGTATTAGCATGAACTTGTATTTTTATATATTTGTGTCTACGTATGTATGGATGTGTGTGCATTCCTTTGCTCTGCACACTGAAAAGACCTAGAAGCAATGATAACTCAGTAGCAATGAGCACATCTGTTACCAATTCTTTGTATCTAAATACCAGTTGTTACTAAAAATAGCCCTGAATCTGTGAGAAAATGGTTGTGACCAGGACTGGAGTAGGATAAATAAAACTGAACTAAGAATATCTTAACTGCAAGAAAGTAAGTGATAAAAACTGACGGGATAAATTAAAAAGACATATAGGGCCACTGTGAAGAGGTCAATTTGATACAAATAGAGCGTAATGTAGGATAATCTATGCATCAAAATAAAAATAACATAATGGTTTTTAAGCCATTAAATAAAATAAGAGTCAATTAGTTCATACTGATAATAAATAAAAAGGGAACGTTCTTCCTTACAGTACAATGAAAGCTTATGAAGGTAGAAAGAATTGTGGAATTAATCACCATCTAGCAGATATTATAATAACTGATCCAGGCAGAGATCATTAACAGATGCTAAAATGGTGGGCAAAAGTTCAAAGAAGAGCAGGATGTTTATATTGTCTCAAGATGTCTTCCTAAAATGTTTTACAAAGGGAAAAAGACGTTCACAGAGCAGAGCCGGGCAGGTATCATCTAACCCAAAGTATCAAAGTTGACGTTACTATTATTGGAATGAAAGTGGCCTCTCATGCCTACTGGTGAGATGTGCTGAGAAGGACACCACGTCCCTCCTAGAGAATGACTTCCCAAACTATAAGCCAAGTCGATTAGCAAACCCAAATCGAAGGGCTTTCTGTAGATTGCTGATTTGGACTCATCACAAAACACCAAAGGTCGAGAAAGAGAGCGCCCTGGGAACTGTTCTAGATGCAGAGCTTAAGGGCTTAAGTTTGCTCCCTATTTCTGCTGGAACAAGCCATCACAAATCAGTGACCCAAACAACACGAACGTACCACCTCACAGTCTTGCGGGTCAGCAGGTGGTGGGCCGGGTGGGCCGCTCCTTTGTGGTGGTCTCATGGGCTGAATGGAGATGTCCTTCCAGGATTTCTTCGGAGGCTCTGCAAGGACCTGCTTCCAGGTTCAGGACAGGAGTCCTGGTTCCTTGCTGGCTGTGAGCCAGAGGCTGACTTGCTTTTCAAGGACAATTGCATTCCTCGTCGCCCCTCCAGCAGCAACACTTCAAGTCCTTCTCCCAGTTCCTCTCTCTCACCCACCTTCCTCCCTCCTCTTCTGCCTTTAAGGGCACAGGTACTTACACTGGCCCACGTGGGCAGTCCACCACATTCTCCTTGTTCTAAGGTCAGCTGATTAGTTGCCTTGATTCATCTGCAAAGTCCCTGCACAGCAGAATCTGGGTTATCATTGGACAAACGGAGACCCAAGAATATTGGTGATGGGGGCGTGGGGCGTCTCATTAGAATCTTGACAGTTGAATATAATACATGTCCTCAGATTGGGGACAAGTTGCAAGATCTGAATATTGGATTTGGATTAGATAATAGTGTTGAATCAATGTTTAATTTTCTGGCTTTGATAATTATTCCGTGATTATAAACACAAATGTTCTTGTTTGTAAGGAACCCATGCTAAACCATTTTGGCATAAAAGGGGCATGGGGCTTGGAAGTGTCTATACACAGAGAGAAAGAAAGGGAGAAAGAGAATGATAAAGCAAACTCGGCAAAATGACAATTTTGAACTGGCTAAAGGGTGTGTCAAGTACACTGAACATTTTTGCAACTTTTGCAAGCTGGAAATTTTGTAAATATAAAAAGTAACCAAAATATTGCTAAGTTAAGTGAAATTCACAAGAGGATTCAAAAGTATATAGGAACTGTCAAAGATATAAAAACAGGACTGCCATATAATTCAGCAATTCCACCTCTGATTATTTACCCCAAAGAGAAGAGAGCAGGACTTGAACAGATGCTTTTACACTGATATTAACAGCAGCACCATTCACAATACCAAAAGGCAGGAGCAACACAAATGTCTGCAGATGGATGAATAATAAGCAAACTGGTGCACACGCATGTGCTCAGCCTCAGAAAGGACAGCACTCCTACATGCCACACCAGGGACAGACTTCAGGGACATCATGCCAAGTGAAATGAGCCAGATACAAAGGACTGATATGAAATGATTCCACTTACATGAGGCCCTGGAGCAGTCATATCCGTAGAGAGCAAGGGGAATGGTGACTGCAGGGGCTGGGGGAGGGGAGGGCGGAGGGTGGGACTCATTGCTTAGTGGTTCAGTTTATGTTTGGGAAGATGAGTCAAGGTCTGGAGATGGACACAGGAGTGGAGCATGGAAGTGTGGACACTTAGTGCCAAAGCTGTACATTTAAGGATGATAAATTTCAGACAGGGGATGTGGCTCAGTGGTAGAACACTTGCCTATCATGCACAAATCCCTGGGTTCAAACCCCAACACTGAAAAGAAAAAAAAAAGATAAATTTTATGTTATGCCTACTTTTCCATGATAAAATAAAGATATGGAGGCAGATTGGGGGCTATCCATGTTGAGACTCCAATTAGGTAAAAAGAAATTTGCCCAAAATATTTATTGTAATTTATTTAAGAGCTTGAGAACAGAGTGATTCTATATTCATCGAATACTTTGTGCATTCTGAGTTTTGAAACACACATTTTTGTAATCACAAAAGAAAGGCACACTAAATTTTGAGAGAAGTTAAACATCTTTGTCTGTTTCAGCATAAGTGCTTTCACTGTGTTGTCTGCAGCAACATGAATCATTTATGCAGATAATTATCTAGGTTCATGACCATGGGAAATGGTCCAGCCCCTGGGCAATACTGCAATATTGCAATAATTAACATTGCAATAACTCCTATCTGGACTGGGGTTTGGCAGGCGGGCTCTGGGAGCAGCTCCTCAAGAAGTGCTCAGGGAAGGCCAAACGAAGGCCCAGCATGAACTGCCCAGGGCTGCTGGCCAGCTCCAGCTTCCTGCTGCTGGGGAAGCTTCCTGGAGGCCAGAAGGAACCGACCCCATCAATCACCCTGGTCTAGTGTTCACCAGCACAGTGAGACTTCAGGCAGGGCCCTATGTGTTTTCTTTCATTTGCAAACATATCATTTGATGAACATTTAGGAAATATGAATGAGCTGAAGAAAGAAAACTTTATCTATAAGCTGATGACCTAGAACCACCCCTGTGAACGTTTGGGTCTATATTTATTTCAGATATTTTTCTTTTCTTTCCCCTTTTTATGTCCTCTTCTCATCTTTATGTCCCTTCCTCATCTCCTCCTATTTTTCCTTTTTAAAAACTCATATAAAATTGTTGTAGGATCCTGGAAGGGTGGTACATGCCTGTAATCCCAGCAGCTCAGGAGGCTGAGACAGGATGATGGTGAGTTCAAAGCCAGCCTCAGCAAATGTGAAGTGCTAAGCAACTCAGTGAGACCCTGTCTCTAAATAAAACCTAAAATAGGACTGGGGATGTGGTTCAGTGGTCAAGTGCCCCTGAGTTCAATCCTGGTACCAAGAAAGAAAAAATAATTGTAGGTGTATACACACACATATGAATATGCACGTTTGTGTGTACATAAAACAGGTCAGACTGATGGTGAGCAGGGAAGGGCCACTGCACTGCATGTCCCTGGAGGGGTGCCATCGCTCCAGGCTCTATGTGAATACTGCTAGGAAAGACAGTCTCCCATACATTCTCCCCTCCAGTTCCAACTTTAGTCTCTCCTGGACACACAGCCAGAGATTTTCTACTACTGTTTTGGCCTTGTTTCTATTTAATTGTACTGTGGTCCATTAAATACATATTTTAGCCCTGTTTTGTGGCCCATTATCTGACCTATAGTTGTAAATGGTCCATGTGCCCTTGAGTAGACACATATTCTAGATTACTGGGCGAAGTGTTTTGCATATATTGTTTGTGGCAAATTTGTATCTTCAATGTTCTATCCCTAAGGCTGGATCTATTTATTTATTTATACATACATATCAGGAATAGAACCTGGGGACACTTAACCACTGACCCACATCCCCCCAGCTCCTTGTTTGTTTGTTTTGAGACAGGATCTTGTTAAGTTGCTTAGGGCCTAGCTAAGTTGCTGAGACTGACTTTGAACTTATGATCCTCCTGCCTCAGCCTCCTGAGCTGCTGGGATTACAGGTGTGCCACCACTACTGGTGTTAGGAACTTATTTTTAACTCAACACTATGTCCTAGAGAGCCTTCAATCATCACAAATAAAGCCCTACATGGCTGCTTAGCACTTTCTAATCTGTGTATCATAATTTCCTTAGGGATATGCTTTTTTTAAAAAAATATTTCTTTAGTCGATGATGGACCTTTATTTTATTCATCTACTTATATGTGGTGCTGAGAATTGAACCCAGTGCCTCACACATGTGAGGCCGCGCTCTGCCACTGAGTCCCAGCCCCAGCCCCCCAGGGATGTGCTTTTTACTCTGTTGCCTGTTGTAAATGCAGTGTGTCTGTCCAGGGTGGCAGGAGATTTCCAGACGTGGCTCCAGGAGGAAATGGAGCCCGTGGCCGAGTCTCTGATCCTGTCAGGAAGGAACATCACACTGGTGGCTCAGAAACTCCATGTGCAGCCAGAATGTCGGTACCACCAAGAGCAGCTCGTGACCACAGCTCAGCAGATGCTGGTGGACACCACAAAGGTGAGGCTGTTGTCAGTGCTGACTGGTCACAAGCAGCATGGGTGGGCATGTTACTCCCACAGTGGACCCCTGTCCCCAAGAGTGAAACCTGCCTGTTTCTGTAAAGATCATAGGCATTTAGTGAATGCTGAATGTAGAAGCTTCCAGGGGAGCTGGGTAGACATATGTAGGGTCTACTTCTTGAACCCCATGTGGTCTCCTCACCCCCTAACCACCAATCTCTAATAAAAAGATGTCACCCAAAGGGTCATTTTCCATTCTCTTGCTGCCAAGAGCTATGGGAAGAGGCTACTGAAACCTCTG